AGGGCTGGCGGTAGGTACAGCGGGGCTGGCCAGGGAAGATTGGGAGAAGTAGGGGAGAGCCGGCCAGGAGGGGGGAGGAGCGTATCAGCTGGTGGGGAGCGGACTGACCCAGGCAGTGCTGTTCCCAGGGGTTCCTGCCCCCCGCATGGTCCTGGCGAAGCGTAAGTCAGTCTGGCTACAGCTCAACCATATGCTTGACCAGTGCGCAGGAGCATGGACCAGGCTGTCCCTCCTCCTCACATGCAACCAGGGCTCCCAGCGCCTATCACTGCCTGCCTCCCAGCCACTCCCCCCATCAGGCTTCTGGGCACCCAGACAGAAAACCAGAAAATACCAGACATTGTACATGTCTGGTATTTTCTGGATTTTTTTTTACCAGACAGAGCCCCTAAAAACTGGACTGTCCAGTAGAAAACCGGACACCTGGCAACCCTGCTTATAACATTTGAACAATTTTTAAAAATTGTCTTTGGATAACCCCAAATACTTACTTCTAAAAGTTCACTTTGACCTCTAATGAAGGTAAGTGCATTTGGCATACAAGTGTGTTAATAGCCATGTTCAGTTTGACTTTTAATTAGACTTTTCCATATGAGGATCCTAAATTCTAGACCTGATGCTTTATTGCTTTTTTTTAATACAAAGTACCCCAGATATAAATGTTTTTCTTTCATTAGTAATTCAAATAAAATAATTATGTACATGCTAGTGTTTTCACGTGTCTGCTGATTTTCCTTCTGAAGCAAATGTACATGGTAAGTGCAAGCTTTTCAGTAAAGGCAAGAGTGGCACACCACTAATACACACTGACTAGGTCAGGACTGGGCAAAATGTGGTCCAAGGCCTGGGCACACCTAACATTTTGATGCAGCCCACGGACTGACCCTGGTCACTTTCTGTTTATATCCTGTTGCCTGTTCCACCAAATTTCCAGGCAGTGGCTTAGGCAGCAGGACCCTATTTAAATTGTTCACGGCTCCCAGTTGCAGCGCTCTCTTGCCATGGGCCAGAGCCACGAGTCTTTTAAAGAACTGCAGCAACCGCAGACTATAATACTTTCTTCTTTACCACCCTAATTGTATAACTGCTTTCATTGATTCAAATCCTGCTTGTTTGTGGATCAAGACTCTCCTCTCTGAATAAAATTGCTTTTGTTTGTTTGTTTTTTGCTATGTTGTCTTTAGATAGCTATATGCCAGTTGAAAATGTAAGCCATACATAGGTGCAACGGTGGGAGACACTTAGACATTTTAATATGGTCCTCGTATAAAAAGGAGCTCTTAATAATTTCAAGACAACTGAACTGATAGAAAAAGAGATCCTGAATGTTTTGTGTTTTTTCTTATTTTCAGGCATGGGGTAAAATCTGTCCAAAGTAGTCATGGCTCGAGAACGAAAATGTATACTGTGTCACATTGTGTACAGTTCAAAGAAGGTAAAAAAATCAATTTGCAAGGCTAATATTTTTGCATGTGAAGATCTGGCTATATGCAGCATGGGAGAAACATTTTCTTGTTTTAAAAAGGAAACTGTAAATATAACTTTTGTATTGGAAAATGATAGATCTCCAGGTCTATTGAATGAAATAGAATTGTTTCACATACTTCATGATGGCCTCTTCCTCAGTGTGACCATGTATTGGATATATTCTCCTTAAGTATTAAAAATATCTGTAGCTTTCAAGTTTTAATGTAACCTTTTTGTATGATTTTAAACCTTAATTCTGTTCCTTTGTGCATTCAGAGATTGCTCTTCTGATATACTTAAAATATGCGTAAGACATTGTTTATCAGTTGAGGCAGCTCAGTCTAATCATCATTTATTAGTATAAGTCAGTGGCTTGTCTGCATTGTCTTCCAAACTCTGCACTCTGGATGGACAGTCTAAAGCGGTGCGCAACCAGTAGGGTGCAACCCTCAAGGGGATCGCAGATGTCTTCCTGGGGGGCTGCCAACAGTCGGGCCCAGCCCCCAGCTGGCCGAATCTAAGCACCGCACTGCTTAGCCACCAACTGCTGTGCCCAGCCCCCGGCCAGCCAGATCTAAGCGCCGTGCTGCAGGGCCCCCAATAGCCAGGCCCAGCTCCTGGCCGCCCGGATCTAAGCACTGCACTGCTCAAATTATCTTGGGGGTCGCAACACGAGTATATGGGGGTCGTGGTTGAAAAAATGTTATGCGCCACTGGTCTAAGGAAAAGAAAGAATTCCTGTAGTGCTTATCGATGCAGCATAAGAGGTTCTCATCAACACTATTGACTTTTTTGTTTTCATAACATTTTAGTAGGGACAGCAAATGCTATTCCCATTTTATTAATGAGGATCTGAGAGGAAGAGAGAGAAAGGTGACCGTTTTTCCAAGTATCTATTCTAGGTAGGATAAAAAAAGGATCTCCCAGGTCCCAATGCTGTTCTTTAATATGAATGTTCTTCTTCTTACAGCAAACATCTGCCTCATTTGCGGCATGTTATACAATGACTGCAGTGAATGGGTCAAAGTTGCTTTTAAATCCAAAACCATTTCACTATGTATGCCTCATTTCTGTTTAGAATGCACATTGGATGAAACAGGCCCTCAGGGTAAAACAGTGTGTTATAGTAAAACTGATTGATAAAGCCTAAGTTAAGCATCTTTAATGTTGTAAATATTGTGATTCTGGGAAGGGGATATTTAATAGTCCTATTTTTTTATGTTATGGAATATCTTTTTAAATAATGATTGTACAGTTATTTGCTAGAAGGGAGTAGTGGAACACACTGGAGTCGGAGCCCTTGCCTCATTCCATATATGCTATTCTATATCTAGTTTCTGGAGCTCTGCCTCCTTCTAAATGAATCCTAAATTTTATCCTATAGAAGAAGGTTTATGGGTAATTTCTCAGGGTTACACCATCTTCGAAAGAGTATGAATAACTATTTGCATTTCCATCTCCTAGAAGTCGGAGATAGAAAAGAAATATTAGAGAAGAATACATTCTTGTGAAGAGTGAAATGAATCATGAGTTGTGCGCTTTTATTTCTCTTGTAGGAGATGGATGAACACATGAGAAGCATGCTTCACCACAGAGAACTTGAAAACTTGAAAGGAAGGTATGCAAATGATCATGTAAACTGCATTCAGTGCAGTTCACATGTCATGCTTTTGGGGAAACTAAATGGCCTTATTTCCTATGCACGATAAGTTCAGTTAAAAGTGGGGAGAGAAAAAGAAATGTGCTTTATAGGAACAGTTAATTCTTAATGTGCTTTTTAATAGATAATAAAAACATGAATAGCTGTGAGGAAATGTCCCTGTTAGGATCATGTGATTTCTTCTTAATCTATACAATTACCTGAGCTATTTGCTTGGGCTGTAATTTGGTATCGTCTCACTGCTTGACCATATGGTTGGGTAGAATTATCTATTGCTATAGTTAGTTTAAATTAAAATGCCTAATACACTGCTGGGCTAAATCATGTGGAAGATCTAAATCCTAAAACTAAAAAAAATCCCTTTGGGGGGGGGGACCCCAAAACCTGTTTTGCTGATTAAGACTTTGCAAGTTTAGAGTTAGAGACATTCCTATTTGTACCCAACGCCACTTTTAGTCTGAAATGTGCAGGCATTTAGTACATAGTATAGGGCTTGGCAATACTTTTTTTTTTTTTTGGGCGGGGGGGCAGTGGTCATGCCTAGAATTTTGGGAAGTGATCACAGGCAGCACTTTTTTGTTATATTAATGGAGCAGATGTGGGGTCTAAGAGGGAGTTTGGGCATAAGAGGCAATTCTGACTTGGGTCAGAGGTTGGGTGCTAAAGCACCCAGTGGCACAGCAAGGAATGCGGGGCAGCAAGTGCCCCCGGGCACCATGCTAGGAGGGCACCCATTTAGTCCCCATCCACTCCCCCTGTCATCTCTCTGCTTGCCTGCTTCTCCTCCGCCCGCCGGTGCTGATTGGAGCCTCCTCTCTACCTCCAGCCCAACCCTCCTCCATCTTTGCTGGTGGGTTCGTGCGTGTGGGGGCCTGGCCCCACACTAGAGAGGGTGGAGGAAGATGTGATATAAGCTCCCCCCACCAGGGTCTGGCTCATCTGTGCACCAGGTTTGGGGCCCCGCTGCACTGCGATGGGAGGGGAGATGACAAATTTTGCCTTTGTCCCATGGTGCATAACACCCTCGCTATGCCTCTGGAAGCCCCACCACTGCAGCCTCCATTGGCTAGTTTCTGGCCAGTGGGAGCTATGAGTCTAGGAAGGGGGGCAGCTCATGGAAACCCCCTTCCCACAAGGGCACACAGAGACGCACATGTCACCAGCCTCTGACTGTTGTGCTTCCAGGAGTGGCATGGCTGAGGCTGCTTGAGGCAGGCAGATCACCTGAATGCCCTGCTGGGCCATGGGACACGTTCCTCTGGCCTTGGCCTGGGCCCTGGAGGGTCATAGGAGGCTGGAGGAAAATATTTGGTGGGCCCCAAATATTTGAACAGGGTCCCATTTATTATGTGCTTGTAAAGCACCCATTAAAGAGATATTCCCTGCCTGAAGAGTTTACTACCTGGCAGGGATTAAATCAGAATGGTGAATAGGAGGGGAAAAGGGCCCAGCAAATTGAAATGACTTGCTCAAAGTTGCACAGCAGTTTAAAGGTGGAGCTGGGAGCAGAATCTAACTTTCCTGAGTTCTAGCCCAGTGTCCTGTTTACTGCACCACACAGCTTCTCACTTTAAAGTTTATATTGGGATTCCCTCTGAGGCCTGTTGCACTCAGCTTATCCAGTTCTGGGAGAAGGCTTCATCCAGTTCTCTGGGATTCAAACCACTCAGTTTGACTGTAGATTTCATCACCCATATTACTCTAGCTGACATATAGCAAAGCTATGTTGAGTTGATCAGTGGGTATAGGTTGCACCACACACCCAAAGTTACACAGACGATCTCTTCCTTTATATGCATTTACACGTTACACTGCATTAAATCATACTTTTTTTTTTAATTGATTTGGCTGGGCATGGTTTAGTTTGTTTGCAGGAACCAATTCCCTGTACCCCATTCTCTCTCTGTGCTGTTCACATGGAAACTGATCTTTATATTCCAGGTTTACCTTGTCCATGGTCTCCATTAATATATTGCTGTTTATCAAAGTTAGCACAGACCAGGTCCTGTTAAGCCCCTATTTACAATTTAACCTTTCATTCACCTTCACAATTATACCCACAAAGACAAGAAATGAGGCAAGTTATTTGTCAAGCCAGGCCTACAGCAGTTGAAAAATAACCCCCTAAAATCCAGATGATCCTTCACTCAAAAATTAATTTTGTTCAACTAGGGCAGTGGTGAATAAATGTAAGGTGTTCAGGTGTCTTGTCAGATGGGGGTGGGGATTTGAATGTGCCTGAGAGGAGATTTGATGGCTCTTTGGGGAAGCTTGATTACTTCTTCAGCCTACCCTTTTGATAAGAAAAGAACACGTGTCAGTAAAAGGAGTAGTGCAAAGGAAAATGGTATTTGCTCACCACTATCCCCTCTTCTTTCCCTGCTAATCTGTTACCCTTCTGAATCATCAGTGATGTTTTTAAAAAGCAATTCCTCGCTCTGTTGTCTTTCCCCACTTGGCCCCATGTCTCTTTGGGAATAAGAAAGGCCTGGAATCAAAAGTGCCTTACTGCTGCTTCTCATCTGTTCTAATTCTTAGCAATAGAGGACATCTGTTGTGTTGGTGAACAGCTGAGAAGTGGTTGCTCAGATACTCCAGTGTCATCAACATTAACTTTAGCAGTTTGCCTCAAGTTTATGTTGTGGCTAAATTTTAAAGCATTCTTTTTAGTGAATCTTTTCTTACACAAGATGATTCTGAATTCTTTAGGAAATTCTGAGGCTGGGATAGATTCAGGAGCTAAAGATGGTACAAATGACAACTCAGAAAGTCCCGGTCTTCCATTTTGTGTTTGGATTTCTAAGGCACAGTTTCCCTCCAGCTAAAAATTCCTCTCTCAGCTACTGTTGAAATTTAAAGTCTTGCCAAGCTTCAGTTTATACCAGCTAGCAGTTTAATTCTTTAAAAATTATATATAATATACACCAGGAGATTGACACTGCGGAGATCAATCTCCTGAGGGTCGATTTAGTGCAGGGTTTGGGAACCTCAGGCCCGGAGGCTGGATGCAGCCCCCTACTTGTCTGGATCCAGCCCCTGATGCTCAGGAGGCCCCCCTGCATTGGGGAGCCTGCACTGGCACTCCAGCTCCTCTTCCACCCACCCACAGGGCTAGATGATACAAAATCTACTAGCCTGGGGCCCCCAGGCTCTGGTGTGCAAGGGGAATGTGGGGAGTGTCTTTCTCTTTCTCAGTGAGGGGCTTTTCACTTTGTTTCTCACTTGTGTGTGGCCCCTGACTGATTTTTCTGTGGGTCAGCAGCACCCAACCTAAAAAAGGTTTCCCATCTCTGATTTAGTGGGTCTAATAAGGACTAAAGATGTTAAATTGTGGGTAATCAGCTAATAGTTGATGGGGGGGGGAACTGCAGAGCTGCAGTGGGGTTAGCTTCCAGCCTGGGGAAGAACCCCACTAAGGTTCTGCCTCTTAAATTTATTAAGAACCACCAGGCAGAGGCATAGTGGGTGGGACCAGGTACAAGCTGGGAATCAGCTTATTCCCGGCTTCATCCAGCCCCGCGCTACACCTTGGCCTCTTTTGCCCCCTCCCCCGACAGTGCTGGGGAGAACCAGCTTTTAAGCCAATCTTCCCCCCCCACCAGCACCGGCTCCTGTCTCCCCCCTGCCTGTCTCTGAAAGAGGCAGCAAGGCAGGAGGGAAACTAGTTACTTCCATCCCTAATACAGATGTGCTAAATCAACTGCTGATCATGCTCCCATCAACTCTGATACTTTACTGGATCACAAGGAGTAAGGGGAGTCGATGAGAGAGTTTCTCCCATCAGTCTTCACGCAGTGGGGATGCTGCAGAAAATCAAACTAAGGTACGTCAACTCCAGCTATGCTGTTCACATAGTTGCAGTTGCCTACTTCATTTTGACTTTGCCCCCTAGTGTAGACCTGTTCTGGATCTAGAACTAGTTCAAAATAAAGATGTTAAATTGCAGTTAATTGACTAGTAGATAGAATTTGTCGACTACTCAACTAGTCGATAGGCACTGCGTTCCTCCTTTGAATGTACAAGAGCCCCAGTGGGACATTTCAAAAGAGGAACGCGGAACTCCGCATGCAGCCTGGGGCCAGCAGGAAGTCCCGCTGACTCCGGGCTGTACGTGGGCATGCACATTTCAATGCAGGCAAGAGTCCCCAGCGGGTGCTTTTGTGCATTTCAAAGCCATGGAGCCCAAGGCCAGCGGGGCACTTCCCAGCTGATCCCGGGTTCTGCAGAGTCCCCAGCTGCCCCCCGCAGCACTGCCTCTTTGAAAGCCACTTTGGTGTTTCAAAGGGGCAGCGCTGTCCAGCTGCGCAAGCCGTAGATCAGCTGTGTGTCAGCTGCCCCTTTGAAAACCCGCCTTGGGGTTTCAAAGTGATTGCACAGCTGATCCCCGGCTCAGCTGTGCTGCCGCTTTGAAGTACCCCTTCTGCTTCCCCACTTTGCTGCCTCTATGTGATAGCGGTAGCAAGGGGGAGGAATCGACTAGTCAACTGACTATCCAATAAGCATTTGCTTATTGGATACTCGACTAGTCCTTAACATCCTTAGTTCAAAATGGATCATCCACATTGTATAATAAACTTATCCCTCATCAACCAGATTTATCCCAACATTCTTCAGCCTGGGGGAGAGGAGATAAGGGTGTGTTGTAATGGGGGTGTTGTTTGTTGGGCTTTTTGTTTTATTTAACTAGATGCCTTTCATCACTTTTACCATCTAGAATTAGTTCACCTATTGACATTTAGCATTTTACTCAGTATTATCACTCTGTTGTATTCTTTGTAAATTCTTCGTTTTGGATTAAAAGGAAAAGTTCAGGTTTCCATTTTCTGATATTGTGAATACTGGAGATATTTAAGAGCAGATTAGATGGACATCTATCAGGGATGATCTAGATCAGTGTTTCTGAAAGTGCTCCGTGAAACTACTTTGAGAAACACATTAACTGGCCGCCCTGGTTTGTTTGTTTACTGGCGCTGCAGCCACTGAGCTTCGCGGCTCCCATTGGCTCCGTTCAGGTTTCCATTTTCTGATATTGTGAATACTGGAGATATTTAAGAGCAGATTAGATGGACATCTATCAGGGATGATCTAGATCAGTGTTTCTGAAAGTGCTCCGTGAAACTACTTTGAGAAACACATTAACTGGCCGCCCTGGTTTGTTTGTTTACTGGCGCTGCAGCCACTGAGCTTCGCGGCTCCCATTGGCTCCGTTTTGTCCTTTGCAGCCAAGGAGAGCTGCGGGAAGTGGCATGGACTGGGCCACCACTTCCCACTGCCCCACCCCTTCCCGCTGCTCCACTTGGCTGCAAAGAACAAAATGGAGCCAATGGGAGCCGCGAGGCTCCGTGGCCACAGCACTAGTAAATAAACAAACCGGGGCGACCAGTTAATATGTTTCTCAAAGTGGTTTTGCGGAGCACTTTCAGAAACACTGATCTAGATGGTACTTGGTCTTGCCATGAGGGCAGGGGACTGGACTTGATGACTCTTCCAGTTCTATGATTGTGAAATGTCAAAAACCTTAATAATATTGTAGTTTTTCTGTTTCCTTAGCATCAAAGCTGAAGGATCATGATTTAATGTCCATCTTTCATTCTGCTGTGGAATTGTATTAATCACTTTTGATTTATATCTTTTCCTGTACAAAAGGTATCTGTGCTCTAGCTGACCTAATTTTTATGCTTGAGAATAGGGCCGGTTTCCCCTCCAGCTCTGTGGGAGGGGGAAGGGGCGCAGTGGTAGCATTCCAACTTTGAAATGTACAAGAGTCTGCACTGGGGCTCTTGTACATTTCAAAGCAGAAGTGCCTGCACAGTGTCTGGAGTCAATGGGGGACTCTGAATGGCCCCAAGCTACACGTGGCACTTTAATCTTTGAAATGAATAGGCGCCCCTGCTGGGGCTCTTATACATTTCAAAGGCAGAACATCACACTAGTTTTTATCAACTAATCCAACAGTCAATGGAAATCCCATCAATCATTTGATTAATTAAAATTTAATATCCCTATTTGAGAATCAGAATGGATAGTAAATTGTTTAATTTACTATTTAGAACATTTCTTACAAGGAGTAGGTCCCAGGAAGGAGACTTGAAGCAGCCTCCCAAACTTAATATGTGGACTAGCTACTAGAGGAAACAAAGAGCTATGTTGTTAACACGATTCCATTAATATTTACATGATCATTAGGTTCCAGGGTTAACATCCTAGTGGCATGAGTCAGTTCACACTTGGGAGTTTGTCTGCTGAGGAAGATATTGCTTAATTGTTTCAAACCTTGTTTGTTTTTAAAGTTAACTTTGTAACTATGAGGGCTAAAATTGTAAGTGAAAAGTTAAATTCTCGAGCGCAGTTGTATGGCAGGAAGTGACCTCTGTAATAAATGTTGCCCCAATGGAGTACAACTTCACTTTTCAGTGAGATGGTCAACATTTTATAAGAATTCTGTTTTGGGCAGTAATTCAGAAAACTCTTTTCAGAGTGGTGTCTGCCTCAGAGTGACTTCTCTTGAGCCTTCACATCTTGCCTCTGAAAATTAAGTCTTTTCATTTGGTTGGTGGGTTGATTTAGCATTTTGTCACTTATCACCTATATTCATCTAACTTCATATTTTCTGCAAAATTCTCGTGGTTTTTAAATTAATTCTTCCATATGCATGTCTGGGATTTTGTATCTTGTGCTTGCCAAAAGATGCATATACTTCCATCCTGTTCTTATGCTACCTCTCTTTAGCACAGGGATTCTCACGACCCTTTTCTGTGGGTTCAGAGTTTGGCCACCAGCTCTTGCATGTAGCCGCACTGATGCTTTTCCCTAAAACAATTAACTTTAGCCGGGGGGGGGAAGCACATATGTACATCCAAATCATGGTAATTTATTTATAGGGCTTTTTGCCAACTCAATAATAAAAATATTACTGTGGAAAGTGATCTTTCTGTGGTATATCGCTTTTCTGAGCAAGTCCCAAGACAAATTCTCCCCCAGCTAGAGGTTAGGAATCTGAGGTAGAAGAAGTAGGGTATAGTGAGAGAGATGTGGGTGATGGAGGCAGTGGAGGGGTGGTTGAGGTTCAAGAAGCAAGTGTCATCCAGGGGTGATGGGCCGGGAGGCATGGATGCAGGGCCAAGAGAAAGGAAGGTGGATCTCTGTAGTTGTGTGGCTAGAACCAGGTGTTGACAGCAGTTCATGCCACCAGAGTTCCTAAGTCCTGCTGCTGGAGACCACTCTCTCTGCCACAGGGCTGAAGCCTGAGCCTTATTGCCCTTCCCCTCTTTCCAAGTAGAGAACTCAGCATACTTCTGCAGTGTTGTGCCCCACCAGTCTCCACAGTGTGTGCAGGGCTTGCACATCCAGGACAGAGGATGGAGAGCCCAATGGTTTTCCACCCCACCCATCACTGCTCAGGAAGCTGCCATGGCCACAGGGAAAACCTCTGGTGGCTTCATGTGGTTATGATGACTGCATTTGAGACATGCTACTACTAAGCATTACACTGTTTCCTCTGCTACTACCTTTCTCTCCTTGAAACCACTACTTCACTTTTTAAAAAGAAAATTTATTTTCTGGAGAAAATCTCCATGTAAATGTGACTTAAGTCCTCAGGTATATGGCTCTTGTCCTTGATTTGCCCATTACATATTTGACAACACTAAATAGAAATGCAAGAAACTTCAGCAGAAATCGTCAGTATTCTGATACACGTTATTTGTAGCTTCATGAGTGATTTTATAATAGCAATTGGAAATGAGGCCAGATTCTTTAAGGAAAGTCTGTTTTCCAGCTAAAATTAAAAATGCAACAGCACTTTAGTTAGGACAGCAATTATCCAATGTAAATACAGAAATACACAGCAGAAATTAGTAAGAGTCTCACACTTTCATAGCATTGGGACACTTTTGTCCTAGTCCTAATGGTGTCAACTACCTCCTCTTCTAAAGTTGAGTAAACAGCATTCCTTTAGCTGCTGGAGCTTAATTTCATGGAAAAGCAGTGTTAGGAAAGTATTTGGTTTATTTAGAGTTTTACTGAAGCTTAAAGTCCCTTAAAGTGTAACTCTGCTGTGAGAAATGAGTATGTAAAAATTACCGTTTTTCCTGATTTTGCATTAAAAAAAGTCTTAGATAACCAGTGCACATGTATAGCCCGTATTGTTAATGAACAGCACTTGTAATGAAGTGTTAATGAACTGCAGCTGATGACGCTGAGCAGTAAGTATGCTACAACCCTTATTGATTGTATATAACCCCTTTGAACCACACCATTTTACCATTTATTTATTCCTTTAGTAGCTTTAACTTGTACTGAATTTTTAAAAAGTATTTAAAACTTCTTAACTTTTTAAACATGCCTAAGCGCAAATCCTACACAGCCGATTTTTAAATTATGTGATGTGACATGCAAAGGACAATGGAAACGGAGCAGCAGGGAGAAAATATTCTGTCAACAAAAAGTCTGTTTGGGAGTGGAGAAAGGAAGAAGCAGAGATTGAGGAAATTACACCCTAAGAAAAGAGAGTGCTGCAGAAAGAAAGCCAAGTGGCCAAATCTAGAAGAAAACCTGTTGAAGTGGGTTCGTGCGCAGAGAGAGAACAAACGGGCGGTGTCCACGATAGCCATACAGCTCAAGGCTCAACTTTTGGCTATGGAACAGAAAATTTAAGGTTTTAATGGGGGCTCAGGAAATTGGGTGTACAAATTTATGCAGAGAAACAATGTCAGTTTGCGCACGGACATCTGTTGACCAAGGGCTTCCTGATGAATGGGAAAAGAAAATGGATGATTTTAAACCTTTGTACATAAAGAAATTAACCAGCTGGGCTTGAAACCAAACAATGTTATTAACATGGATGAGGTGCCCATGTCATTTGATATACCCACTACTTGGTCTGTGGCGGAAACTGGATCAAAAACAGTATAGCAACCACCGGTCATGAATGCACCTGTTTTACTGTAGTGTTGGCACACACAGCAAATGGTGGTAAATTAAAACCAATGGTGATTTTTAAGAGGGTAATGATGCCTAGAGAAAAACTGCTGGCTGGTGTTTGTGTGGTTTGTAACAAAAAGGGCTGGATGAACACATGTTATGAAGACGTGGACAGACAGCTGCTTTCAAGCACAAAAAGTTTTTTGTTTTTGTTTTTTTGTTTTTTAAATCCTAAATCTCTGCTGCTTTTAGATTCCTTGGCTGCCTATAAAGAAACTTCAGTTCAGAAACACATCAACTCGGTGGGTGCGCATATTGCCGTAATTCCAGGTGGACTGACCTGCAACTTGCTACTCCTTAATGTGGCTGCCAACCACGTGTTCAAGTGCTTCCTCCAAGAGGAATGGGACAATTGGATGACAAATGGGGAACACACTTTCACTCCAGCAGGTCGACAGTGCCATGCAACTTATATGGAAGTTTGTAAATGGGTTTTGGCTGCTCGGGACAGAATAAAAGAGGCTACTATTCAGAATGGGTTCTGTAAATGTGAAATTCTTCCCGACATTGACTCGTCTAGCTCCGAATCTGACTCCGACAGCGATTCTGATTCGGCACCACAGACCTCAACTGTCACCATAACCAAGGCTAGGCGAGCTTCGGATTGAACGGATTTTTTCAAGACCGCGACAATGCAAAAGTTTTGATGGTTTTGAAAACTCAGATACTGTGGAGGAGGATGCTACCGCTGATTCTAGTGATGCAGAAGGAATGAACTTATGTATTTTATGACAGTGTGAGCAGATGGCTTTTTAAAAACTGTTTTACCATATATCTATTCTTTTATTATTAGTTTCACATTAAAGTTTTAACTTTTAATGTATTTTAACATCACTGCCACTATTATTAAATTAAAATATGCTGCTTTTATCAAGTAAGAGTCAGTCTTGTCTTCCTGTAATTTCAATAAAAAAGAACTTGTATAACACACGGATAAGTATAGCCCCCGGGGCAGGGATTGTAAAACGTTTCATAACGCACAGGTTATATACGCTAAAAGATGGTAAGTATTCCTGGCAATTCACTGTTAGCAAAGTCAAGAGAGTGAGCTGGATTCTATACCTGCCTATGCATCAATAAAATTGTTAACCAACTTTGAGTTAGTTAAACTTGAGCTAAGCAACCGAAGGTGTATAATACAGTTGTTATACACAGGGGTGGCCTGTGGATGTAGGCAACCTCGGCAGTTTCCTAGGGAACCGCGTTTAACTCGACGCCCAATGATGACGTCACGCCATTGAGGGCTATGGAGGCAGGGGTGCCGATCACACATTCTGCCTAGACTAGCCGCTCCTGATTATACAGCATAATGTGTCCTGTAGAATACTTATCACTGTTGGTAAAGTATGCAAAAAGAAAGAACCCAGTCTGGAACACAAATCCCAGGTTGAGTTTGCAGGGCTGACTTGAAGGAAAATATATATTCTACTTATTATTGCACACTTGTTTTACAGATAGTTTGAAACTGAGAGTCTCAGTTTAAGTGTGTAAAGTGGTATTTCTGTTAATTAAACTTCCTAACCATATTGCCTATTTGAGTGATCTGACTATAGACCTTTACCATATTAACATAAATCACATTTTTACTGGTGGGGGTGGGGGGAGAAAAATGTCTTTTTAAATTACTTCATTTCAAAGACTTTTTTTGAAAGGCATAGACCTTTATTTAACAGCCAGCTGGTGATCCTTAGTTAAGCATGGCTCACATAGGGATGCTGACTTAGAAATCCAGAAGAAAAAAATTCACCACCCACAAGATTTTTTCATGCTTTTAGAAACTGCAGAGGTGGAGGCAAGATTTTTGGGCCTCTGGTTTCTGTGATGGAAACATTTAACTGAATAATGAAGATGTTTCCAATCCATGAGATGGGGATTTTTCATCATTTCAGTAAGGGCAATTACAATATGAAGTGGAACAAAGCTTTAATACAAAAAAGTTTTAAAAAAAATCATTTGGTATTGACCTTTTGATATAAAATTGAGTTTTCTAAATATATTGGATGTGAGCTTCAGTCTCTTATATTGCTACTTTGGGAAAAGGTAGGAGAGTTCACATGTCACAATAACTGGTCTAAACTAGTCTTTTAGCTTTGCTTTTAATCTTTACATGGACCTCAGCTTCCTTACCACTTCTCCTTTTATTTCCATTCGTATGTTTGGATGTTATAGTACATGATCTCTATATTTGAGACAGAAGAGCATTCAGTTCTGTTGGTTTTATAAATAAGATGCTGGGGTGCAAGAGAGCATCAGGGAGGTAAGCAGTGGGCTCTGTGTTGGTTATTTGCTTGGCTCAGAATAATTAATCGATTTTACTTTATTTTCCAATGGACCTATTTTGTATTTCTTTTTTTTTAATCATTAATATAATTAAAGGATTGGTCAACCGCTGAATGATAGGATTTTTAATAAACGTGAAATATCAATTTGATTTTTTTTTTAAATGTTTTACTGCAATATTCGCTAGGGATATTAGAATTTAACAGATAAGCTGATGCTTACTGGTTAATGATGCTTACTGGTTAATGTTATCAGTTAAACTCTGCTCCACTCCAGGGAGGCGGCTTCACTATGGCACTGAAGCTGTCTCTGCAGGAGCAGAGCCACCAGTCCTTGTCTGCCCAGCTCCTGGGGAGGTGACTTCGCTGCAGCAGCAAAGCCTCCCTGGGCTTGACCCTGTAGGGAAGCTTATTTAAGCTTTATACAACAGAGCCTGCAGTGTATGTAAGCCTAAGCTTTTTTAGCAGTTGCACAGTTACTTTATTAAACAACTTCTAATTTCCCTAGGATTCACTGACACTTCAGTAAAACCACTTGTCTGACGCAGCTGTCAACTTCCTGCAACTGAAATAATTTCTTGTCTTAAAAAATAAGCCTTCTAAAGAAGAAAGCAGATCTCATGCATCTTTTGAACCAAATTAAGTACAGTACACTGAAGATGCCTCCTATCGCTTTCTGTGCTATGGAGTCTTTGAATGCCAAACAGAGGTCTCAGCTGTCCCAGTTTAGGTTACACTGTATTAGGATTGGCTGTGGAAGTGTACTCCCTCCTCCCTCTCTTGGCTTTCACTGGGGGAAAGCATGAGTTAGAGATTAAATGTAGAAGCTGTCACCAGGCTTCTCCAGTGCAGCTGGCACCATGGATGTGCTTCAGAGTAGCTCCTGCTAGCTCTGTAAGCCCTCCACTCTGCCACCTCTCACTATGTTTCCTCTGATAAGATTTTGAGTACAACAATCCAAGAAGAATTCCCTGTCCTCACCAATTTATACTGCTTTTCCCAAGTTTTTGCCTCTTGATTGTTGGAAAGAATCTTTTAATATTGACCACAAAAAAAACCCAGAAGTTGGGATACGAAATTGCTATAGAAAAAATTTAATGTATTGAGCAAAACTATAATGCACAGTACACAAGAAATTGGCTAAGAAAACTGGCATACTCAGAGGAAACAGAGTAAGATCAGAATTGTCTACCATGCCTGTGGGAAGGATTGAATGTCCATCCTCTCCCTCTTTCCCCAGGGACAGCAACCACAAGTGCCAGGTGTGCAGGGTGACAGTGGTGGGCTTGTCAGCATATGCCAAGCACATCTCCAGCCAGCTGCACAAAGACAATATTGATGCCCACGATAAAGAGGAAGATGAAGGGAAAGAAGAGGCTGATGAAGAATACTTTGACAAGGAACTCATTCAATTAATTAAACAAAGGAAGGAACAGAACCAGTGAGTATTCTTTTTCTCTTAAATTACATGGTGGAATGCCTTTAAAGCTGTTGTGGGTATGGAGAAATGCTGCCAACATAGTATATGTGTGTCAAGTGCAGTCTTATGCTCAGTATACTGGTTGCATGTAGAGCAGTTTATGGCAACTGTGTGTAGGATGCAGTTTTTGTGTCTAAACCCAAACATTTATCATTTTCAATTCTGATCATTGGGAAGCTTACTGTAGTGCTTGTAAAATGAAACCCAGCCTAGCCCACAGCAGAGGTGAAACAGTTTCACTTCTAGCGTCAAAAGGGTGTGAGCTGGAATTCCTTGTGTACTTGCTTATTAAGGATTCAAGAGCACTCAGCATCTATATGCAAATATTTTGTATTGTTTGTTATAAGCATACAGATGAATAAAATGTTCCAATAATTCTAGCAGCAATATAACTTTTTTCCCTGAAAAATTAGCTTCTAACTGTTGTTGGGTATAATTTGATGCTTGTATTTTACAATTCTGATCTCTCAAATGTTTTTTTTTTTTTTTTTTTTTTTTTTTTTTTTTTTTTTTTGCATCAATATGTCCTCCTAAAATGGCACTGAATTTTAAATGAATTGTCTTTTTGTTTAGCATTAGCTAACTGTTACTGTTCAGTGTGAATAGTTAAAGTTATGCTGCATAGGGTAATTAAAGTTGTGTTTTGGCATTTAGCCTGCATCTGACACTGCTCAGTGTCCGTGTACATTGCTAATGGCATGATGATTTTGCTATATATGGTTTTAAGAACATATTACTGTAACACTATTAGGGGGCATAGGTTTTTCCTTTTTTAACTTTATTTTGTGTTCGGGGACCCTGACCACATACAATTTGAGCTCTCCTTTTATCTGACCAAGAGCATATAAAAAGGATGTCCATTGCCCATGCTGTCTAGATACTTTGGATACCAGCCAGGACTTTGAAGATTTTTAGGCTTTCACCACCCATCCCTTCATTTTAGTCAATGACTGTGCTGCATAGTACCAACTTTTGTGCTATAACGCTCAACGTTTTAGAGCTATTAATTCCTTGGCTCCACTGGTTAGAGGAATAAGGTCTGCATTTAATGTTCTTGGCCCACTTTAAATGTTGTAAAGTCTCTCTGTTAGAAATAGCTTTGGGGAGGCACCAAAAGCAAATGTTAAGTTAATGATGTCCAAAGCAAAACTATTTCCCTCCAAACAGAATTAGTTGTCAGCTATTTGACTCAAAGGGTGCCTCTACACATCAAGGTTCAACTCAAGATAAGGTACGCAAATTGAGCTATGTCAATTGCTGCATAGCTTATTTCAAAAGAGCTTGTCGAAATTGGGAGTATCCACACCACACTTATTTTGAAATAGATCGCTCTTCCTCTGACTTCCCTTACTCCTTGTACAATGAGGGTTACAGGAGTCGGAGTAAGAAAACCTCAGGTTGACAATATTTCAGCATTATTTCAAAATAACTGCCTGCTGTGTGGACGTGGACTGTAATTTCGAAATAATGCTAGTTATTTCAAAATAATGTTGCTGTGTAGACAAACCCAAAGATGCTGTCATTATACACCATTACTGTTCTGGCCTCTCGGTATTAGAGCTCACTTTCCCTTATGCAGTAATCCCTATGACAAGTTCACATCCATTTCTCACAGGAGGCAGTATTCATTTTCATGCATATCGAAAGCTTTAAAAAGGGAGACGGAATGTTAAGTTTTCAGTTCATCCACGACCAGGTGTTGTGGAGGCGAATGCTTTGACATGAAATTTCCCCATCCTGCCCTTCCTATGACTTACAAAGATCCATTTGCCCTTAAGCCAGTTAGCAAGGATCTTTCACTTAAACTACATTTTTTGCAGGATAAGTAGTACTTGTGTTGAGATTGCTGATTCTAGTAAGAACTGCAGCACCAGTATTAACGCAGCATTTGTCTTTGAATGCTGCATGTCTTATAGATCTGCTTTGTGTTCTTGACGTTCTGTCAAACCCAAATATAATCATTGGTTGCCTATTAGCTATTGCCCTTTGGTAGTCTGCTACTACTCCAGGGAAGGTCTTTCTAGTCCTCCTATTGTACATTTCAAGGACATGTTAAGACCTGTTTTCAAAATTAAGCCAAATGTTTTTGTCTTGTGTCTGAAACCAAACTTGTTAGGTCTTTAATACCTAATTGTCTTACAGGGACTCTAGAAATCAAGAAATAGTCTTGTTGTTACTTTCTTTCTTCAGCAATTTGAATAACTACTTTCCTCAACCTAACTTTCTTTCTAATCTTTACCAGTTCATCCCCCTAGCAATACCCAGCACTTACAGGATACATTATCAAGATCTTTTTAATGATTGTTATGTAAAAGGAGAATGACTTTACCAAATTGCTCTACTCAAATTGCTCAGTCACACTTTGAGAGATATGAGTTGGGAAAAGAAAATAGAGAACAGCTTGCCTTTTGCTTTAAAATAAGAACATAAGAATGGCCATACTGGGTCAGACCAAGGTCCATCCAGCCCAGTATCCTGTCTGCCGACAGTGGCTAATGCCAGGTGTCCCAGAGAGAGTGAACCGAATGATCAAGCGATCTCTCTCCTGCCATCCATCTCCACCCTCTGACAAACAGAAGCTAGGGGCATCATTCCATACCCAGACTGGCTAATAGCCATTAATGGACATAACCTCCATGAATTTATCTAGTTCTCTTTTAAACCCTGTTATAGTTCTTCACAACCTCCTCAGGCAAGGAGTTCCACAGATTGACTATGCTCTGTGTGAAGAACTACTTCCTTTTATTTGTTTTAAACCTGCTGCCCATTTAGTTTCATTTGGTGGCCCCTAGTTCTTATATTATGGGAACAAGTAAATAACTTTTCCTTATTCACTTTCTCCACACCACTTATGAAATTTTTTTTTATGGTCCAATCATTGGCACATTGAAGAAGTAGTGTTTCATTTTCCCTTAATTAAAGCGAAAGTCACTAAGCAGTGGTCTTTTCTGGAATTAAGTGAAAACATCCGGGAGTCTTGGAAAGATGTGTTTGGAAGTTCAAGGAAAAAGCTTCATTACGTTACTTAGGTCAACAATTTTAAAGCAGCTTTGTAAAATTCTGCTTGCCCAGAGCAAGTAAAAACAAATTTTTTGACAAATGAAGCAATTGTGGGATGTAATGGTAGGCATAGGGACAGGATCTTGCACTTAACCTGACCAAAGTCCAGAACAATTTTACAAAGCTAAAATAAAAATATCAGTCTACTTTTCTACTCCCATGTAAAAAAATCAAGTATTTTATCAACTTGGAAGCTGAGTCTTGAATAATGATATTCAGCCTTCCACAGCATGTTTGTTCCACAAGCTTCAAAAGAGTTAATAGAGAAAGAAATGGAACCTAGCAAGTAAATTAATCATTTCCATTTGATATTTTTAGAATAGCTTTTTTTCAGATAATATGCTAGGTTTTTATGTGATGCTAGTGTAAGAGAATTAGTAATCAGACTGGTAGGGCTCACTGAAGTTAAATAAGCTAGTACTTTAAATAGAAGTAGCTCTTAACGTCATAAAGAAATATTGTTCAGGTTTTGAAAGGTAAGTGATGAAGACACCCGGAAACAACAATCCTGACACACATCAGTTGGTCCCATTCATTTCAAAGGTGTTTTGCTCATGACGTCTGGTGATGCTTTAAATAGCCAAACTATAAAATGCTACTGCTGATCAGAGTACATGAGAGAGGCACAATTGTGTTCTGAGAAGTTTGAATGCTCTCATTTTTGGTGCCACCAAAGGGTGAAGCTTTGGAGAGTAGGGACATTTAAATATGTTTGATTTTGTAAATGTTTAGCTGTTGAAATGTTCAGTCGTTACACATTTACATGCAGGTGGAGAGGATAAGCGGGAGCCGGTGCTCATGGGGAGCCTTCTTTTAAACCTGCTCCCAATGATCACCAGCTTCTGCCTGCCACCCTTTTCCTGCCACCCTCCTTTCCCCTCTACTGCCTCTGATACAGAGCCAGTAGCACAAGAGGGCAGGTAGCTCTGTGGGAACCGGTATGCACAGGGAGCCAGTTTGAAAGCTGGCTCTTGCCTCCCTCCTCCCCCCCCCATCTCCCTGTGCTGCTGCTGCCTCTGGGAGGCAGCAGGGGAAGGAGGCAGGCAGGTTTGCCGGAGTCAGTGGGGGGAGGGTGCATGAGGGTTAACTGTTGAGCTCAGGCTTATCAGTTAACCATGTGCACCTGAACAAATAACATCCCTGTTGGAGAGTGCCACTTCTTTTCCTCCCAAATCTGATCTAAAAAAATGACAAATCCATTAAATTACAAGTCAGATTAGTACATTATATGTTGAGACTGCTATATGATGGGATTTGAAAGGAAAAAGTTGTCTAACAACTTTTGCTAAGTATTGGTTAAGCTTTTTTTGTAGCCTACCATATTCTTATTATGTTTTATACCTATTAATGAATTGTTACTTGTTTTGAAATACCATGAAGTGTCCCATTGACTTCTCTCCCTTTGATGCATTTTCACCTTCCTTTGTGCCTATTAACTAGTTACTTTCTGTGTTTCCTCCTTACACTATATACCACAAAGCATCAAATTTGTGTACATTTACATATGGGGGAAGATGCACCCCAAACCCTCAGGAAAAGTAAAACCAACCTGATACTTACTAACAATTGCATGCCTTGTATTGTGTATTTGTATTACAGTAGCTCTAGGGACCCAAACAAAAATCTGGGCGCATGCTGCATCTTTTTTTCTGTTTTTGTTGTTTCTCTGAGTGCTTAAAATCCCCTATGTTAACATCCCAGTGTGACCCTAGTTTTGTTTGGAGTACGGAGATGACGTTGTAATACAGATACAACTTTTGTATATGCATAGAGCTTTATCTCATCTGCATCCATAATAATGAGCAGTGGATATCCGCATACACATTGACGGGTGCAGATACCTGTGGATATAAAGCGGGTATCTGTGGATTTGCAGAGCTCTACAAATAAGTAAATGATCCAAATTATGGAATGATAATTGACTGAAGGAGACTTATGTGAATGAAACTTCCATCAAGTGTAACTATTGATTTATTTTTCCATTTTTAACATATGGTCTTAAACAACCTTTACAACAATTTTAATTTGTTTTATTTTAAACTGTACCCAATAGATAAATGTGCAGGGGCTTTTGGGAGAGGTATTGTCAGTGTTTTCATTCTATGCACGCTTTATGGAAAAGGCAAGAGAACTTGGCTGCCTTAATAGTTAGTCAAGCAGTAAGCTTTTTTTCCTCAAGGGCCAAGTGCATAGCCATTTCCTGGTGTTAGTAGTTTGGAAAACCAGTATCCTGCCATCTAGCCTGAACTTGCTATTGTATGTGGTGGTATTTGTTACCTATCAGCCTGCTTTACATTTAATGCTTAATGTTGAGATTTTTTCTGGCAGTTCTATAGATCATTTTGAAAAGTTTTACAGGCTTGTTAACTCTTTTAGAAAGCTGGAATAGACTGGGATCTATTTTTCAGTCACTAAAAAGACCTATTTCCTTATGTCTCCTAGGCAAGTTGAAGCTTGCTGCAGAAACGAAGAAATAGAACCCAATGATAGGAGATCACAGAGACAACCAGACGAAAGAATTGTTTATAAAGACAGAGAAACTTATCCATCATTGTGGCACCATCATGGCCCCTCTCAAAGAGACTGGAAATGGGAAAATGAAGCCTTTATGAATCTAAGGCAAGGCACATTCCCACATTCTATACAGAACCCTAATGTGGACAGGCACCTAAGTGGTCCCAGGGGATGCTCTGTATGGAATCAAAATGGGTCTGCAGATCTTTCAGTTCAACATAAGCATGGGAATTCTGGAGGTGTTTGGCACCCAAATACAGGAGGAGAAAAGTCAAACTGGTATCAAGATGTCAAAGGAAAAAATTCCATGTGGCATTCTGAAGGAAGAGATGACTTTTCTGTTTGGCGTTCTAAAATGTTGGCAAGAAACTGGAAATCCAATCTTCAGGGTGCGAATAGCTGGAATGTTGCTGGCACAGGGGATATACATCCACTGGGAAAAAATAGGGCTGCAAATCCTAATTTCCACATAGAAGATGGGAGTGTTGCATGGAAAAAAAAACCCATTGAATATAGCCAGAAAAGGTATAAGCCACAGTGGCAGGAGACTGACCAATTGGATTTTACTAGTGATAAACTCCCTCCAGTGGGGGCGCTGGCTGGAATGTTGCTGGCACAGGGGATATACATCCACTGGGAAAAAATAGGGCTGCAAATCCTAATTTCCACATAGAAGATGGGAGTGTTGCATGGAAAAAAAAACCCATTGAATATAGCCAGAAAAGGTATAAGCCACAGTGGCAGGAGACTGACCAATTGGATTTTACTAGTGATAAACTCCCTCCAGTGGGGGCGCTGGATTTTAGTATTTCTGAACAACCAGAGAGTAAAATCTCCAAGATGACCAAAGATAAAATTCATCGCTGGACTCCTTACCCTTCCCAGAAAGCTACAGAACAGCAGCTGCGGCCTGAAGAGAATGTTCCTAAATCTTCCGAAAAAAAATCTGTATCTCTACCTTTTCTTGAGACACCCATGAAAGGGATGGACCTTGAAAGTGATACAACAAGCCTTCCAAAACTGATAACATGGGAAGAATCTCTTTTAAATCACCCCTGTCACAAGACCACCACTGATGATGTTGAATTGTGCAAAGTGAATGCAGACTGCACCAGTGGAGGAAGACCTGACCAAGAGGAGGGTAGAAACAGGATGCCATCACTGAAATCACCGCTTCTGGTTATTCCAGACATGAAGTTATCTTCCCAAAAGCAAGATCCAAAGAATTTCTTGAAAAATGTCAAGCTTCTATTATCTTCATCCCCTGGAGAATTCCAAAATTATTCAAATGCAGTAAACTTAGAAACTAATCGTTTCTCTTCTTATATAGCCAAGTTGCGCAGTGCTTCTACTTTAAGAGGTAGCGGAGACGTTTTTGACAATAGTCAGCGACAGCCTATTGATAACTTAAGTGAAGAACTACGAAAAGCTAAAGAATTGCAATCCAATCTTTCTCCAAAAAATCCTTATTTAAGTTCAAACAGAGATACAGAGAATGATCAAAATGGTGGTCAGAATATAGAAGAACTCAGGAAAGGCTCTTCAAAGAATGAGCCCAGAGCTGAAGCACTTGAGGATGTAAGTAATAGAGCACTAGCAGTGTGTGAAAAGGCTGAAGCAAAGTTTGAAAAACTATGTCCTTTAATTAAGACTTGTTCACCATTTGACTCTCAGCAGTGTGAATATGCTACCTCCAGAAAGGAAGGTGACTCAGAAGCATCAGGCAAACCTCCCAAATCAAGTATTATAACTGATAAGCAAAAAGATTCTGAATTTCAAATGGAGTCAGTGTCCCCATCAAGCCTTCAACGCAACTTAAGTGATGATCTGAAAACCTCTCAGGAAGGGAAAAGGGAAGATCCTATCAAATCAAATCATCATTTTGATATGGAAGGCTTTGAAAACAGTTTAGACCACGAATTGCAAAAAGGAGGCTGTAGTGGTCAACCTTCAGGTCCTCTTCTTCCTGAATTAAGTAAATTTGGCCTCCCAGCTTTTCTCCAAAGAGATCTGACACGACATATCAGTTTGAAGAGTAAAGTTGGGGCACATCTTCCTGAGCCTAACCTTAACAATGCACGGCGTATTCGAAATGTCAGTGGTCATCGAAAGAGTGAGACTGAAAAGGAGTCTGGACTTAAACCAACCCTGAGGCAAATTCTTAGTGCATCTCGAAGAAACATAAACTGGGAACAGGTCATCCAACAGGTAACAAAGAAGAAGCAGGAGCTTGGCAAGGGTTTACCAAGGTTTGTAACCTTTTAACTTTCAAACATGGATCTTGTTTAATGCAGTATATTACATGCATGCGCGCACACATGCTATTTCTCTCTCCAAGTTTTTATTACTTATTTAATTGTGAAATGTATTTCATACCAGTGAGTAACTGTGTTCTGTTAATGAAGAGGCCATTTTCTCTCTACTTCAAGCAATAAGTCGATTCTGATCATTTTGTGACTAGCACATCATATGCATATGACACTGGTAACTTTAGGTTGTGTTTTAAAGTTCTGATAATTAGAAAAATTGATAGGTGTAATATGAACAGTACTTTCAAGTAATGGTTTTGCACATTTTTTTTGCATGAGTTCAAATATTCAAATGAGAAACACATTTGTCACAGACAAATTGAATGCATCCCTTGCTATAATTCTTCTATTTTTTAATTATTAGCCATTTGTATTTCTTTAAGAATCTAGATAAAGCAAGTCTCAATATTTTAGTCATTGAAACTGCCTTTAAACTTAACGTGGAGACATATTTTCAGTCTGTCTAGTAATCGCAACATCTCATTATTTGCTTCTAAGATTGATGAGACAATTCTGTAATGACTGTCTGAAAACTATAATAAGTTTACTATACTGTTTCAGATCTACCATGTGTAAGAGGGTCAGTAGCTCTTGTTTAAGTGTGCTGCATTACAACTCAGACAAGAACTTTTGTATAGATTTTTGACATCAAACTTAAGAGGGCCAAATAGACCTTCACTTCACCCTAGAGCTAATGAAAACTCTGCTTTTGTATTTGAAAGTAATAAATTAAGATCAGTAAGAACTAGCACAATAATGAAGTAATGCAAGTAGGGCCCTTCTTTTTTGGATTACAAAAAAGGCAACACAACACTAGCATTTGTCATCTTTTAGTCCCTCAAGGTATGTCTACACTGCAAAGTTAATTCGAAATAACAGCTGTTATTTCGAATTAACTTTGCAGTGTAGACATACCTTGAGGGACTAAAAGATGACAAATGCTAGTGTTGTGTTGCCTTTTTTGTAATCCAAAAAAGAAGGGCCCTACTTGCATTACTTCATTATTGTGCTAGTTCTTACTGATCTTAATTTATTACTTTCAAATACAAAAGCAGAGTTTTCATTAGCTCTAGGGTGAAGTGATGCCACTCTGGGCCAAACCCAGAAAACTCCTCTCCTCTCCTCGGAGCCCTTAAAGGGGTAGACTCTGGCCAGACTGCACCAGCAGTCTCTGCCCCGATCCAGTCGCCCCATAATGAGTCAGGCAGCCAGTGCCAGACAGCCGTCTCCCGCCCAGTCCCCCAGCACCCAGGGGCCGTAGACAGTGCGTGCCCACCTGCACTGATGTGGAGATCATGGACCTCAGAGAGGTTTGGGGGGAGGCCCCCAATGTCCATGATCTCCGCACTAGGCGGAGGAACGTGGCCATCTATGGCCGCGTAGTGGTCACCATGGCCCAGAAAGGCCACAGGCGCACCCAGGAGCAGGTGCGCCTGAAAATTAAAGAGCTGCGGCAGGAGTTCACCACGGGCCGCGCCACAGCAGGGGCTGACACCTGCCCCTACTTCCCCGCCCTCAACCGCATCCTGGGGGTGGCACGGTCTGCACCACCCTGGGGGCAGCAAGCCGGAACAAGAGGGCCCTGACCCAGGCGCAGCAGTGGGGCCAGCACAGAGGGTGCAACGCCAGTGGAACCCCCGAGCTATCCCAGCACTGGAGTCAGCAGGGTCGTTGGGGGAGGCCACACCAGGTAAGTGCCATCGCTGTCCCCTACCCGAGGGGGGAGTGAGGGGAGGGCAGGGTTCAAGACCAGGGACCGTGCATGTGGGCCATGCCTCCCACGGATCACGCAGTCACCTGTGCACGTGCAGGAACGTGCTGTGCCACCCTTGGGCAGGTGGCTCCAGCTGCGTGCCACACAGGGGCCGTGGCCCGAAAGCCATGTGTGTGAGAGAGAGAAGAGACCTAACACGCTCCTGACCCCGGGGTGGGACCCAGCAGGATGCCCTTCCTTCACACGCCCCCTCTACACAGAGGCAGGGAACATCTCTCCCCTTCCCCCGCCCCCTCCTGGCCTCGGCTGCACTA